CCCTCTTCTTTTTACTTCTGTTTGAGCTCTGATCATCCAGTCATTAAAGCCAGGTCAAGTGAGTATTATCTGCAAGTGTGGGTTTTCTTACCAATGATTATATTTTATGTCATCGATATTCATGAAATATTGAAGGAAAGGCAGTATGAATTAAGCTTGAGTCTTTATTTAAAGCCCTGGAGATATTTCTTTGTCAGCAAAGAATACACACTGTCTCAGAACCAGCCTGCTAAATTGTCCTGATTTACCTTTCAATTTCAGTGCATTAGGAATATTCACACAGATAAACTTCTAATAAATTTCAGTTTATTAGAAAAAGCAGAGACCTTAGAGTCAAACTAAATGCTATCCAGTCTCAGTTCTGCCACTTGCTGTTAGCCTCCTTAAGTCCCTTTGCTTCTCTGACTCCCCATTTCTCACCTGTAGGAGAAATGCCACATCTGTCTCATAGCATTGTCATCTGCAACTCATGGTAAGCCCATGTGTGTCAGAGTAGAACTGTTCTCCATAGGGTTGATGTTTCAGAAGCAGACCAACAGGAATTTGTTCCAAGGCATCTTTTGGTGGACTCCAGCCTTCATTCTTTTGGTGAGTAGTTGAGTCCATAAATCATTTGCAACAGCCAGGGACTCCCAAGCATTGGTAGCTGTTTAATTATTATCATTGGACATTGATTTTGCCTTGTCTTGTCATTCTCCAGGAAATATTCTCCTAAATGGCAGAGACTCTCCTAGTCAGAAGAGAGTCCTGAAAGGGAGACAGTGCAGGACATAGCAGTTGATTTCCCCCACCTTCTAGATGAGAGCAGTGAGGGGCGTGGCCTATGTGTCCTGCTTGGTCATTAGAGTTCCCTTTGCATGGGAGTAGAATCCTTGGGTGGTGCAAACAGTTAAGCACTCAGCGTAGTGGTTACGAATCGGGCTGCGAACCACAAGGTCAGCAGTTTGAAACTATCAGCTGTTCCGCGGGAGAAAGATGAGGCGTTCTGCTCCCGTAAAGATATACAGCCTCGGAAACCCTGTACACGGTTGCTATGAGTTGGAACCGAATCCACAGCACATAAAAACAACAACAACTATTCAAAAGAATGGCATTCAAACCCACTAGAGATGTCTTGGAAAACAGACCTGATCATCTGTTTCTGAAAAAGCCACAGGTTTGAAAATTCTGTTCTACACAGAATTGACTTGACAGTAACTGACATAGTTTGGAGAGGGTTTCTTACTCCATGTTTAAATGGTAGCTTTCCATCCTTTTCTGTCTATGCAAGAACATAGATATCTAGCATTTGGCTTCTCTACAATCAATTTGAGTGTTTATGTGTATCCCTCACAAGCAGGCTTCAGAGCATGAATCATTTCCTGCACAGTACAGACATCTGGCAGGCTGGAAGGCCAACGCTGAAGGGGTGGGAACTGTCCCTCAAGAAACTTACGGCTTCTGCAGCATCTTTGTAGTCACAGTCCTGCCAGATTTTGCCACTGTCAACAGGACAGTCACCCTCCTTGACTTCATATTTGAAGGAATAAAATATGCCAGAGGCATCCTGAAAAAACAAACAACCAAACGTATCTTTATTTATCCAACTGACCCAAAAGAATGTAATTGAAGTGGTATCTGGTGTTGTTATAAGTATTTGATCTTAAATTGATTCAATGATGTCAGGCCAAGGGTTCATTAAAAGTATTGAAAGTTGTATTCCTTGCGAAAAAACATTCACAATATTTTGACAAATATATATTTTAAAGGTTACAAAGCAGTAACCACAGTATTAACCCACTTAAAAACAACAACAACAACAACCAAAATGCCAACAGATACATATAATATGTAAAAACATCTGGAAGGGTATATAGCAATCTGTTAGGTGTTTGGATTACAACAGACTTCCCCTTTCTTCTTTAAACAAATCTTCTTGTGTAGTCTTTTAAACAAACAGTATATTCCTTTCCTCCTCTTATTTGAAGTTTGTTAGTTAAAGATATATTACCTTTCCAATTAGAAAATAAAATGGTAAGAGTTCCTTTTTTAATTTTGAGGAAAAAAAAGTGAATTTGTCTCTGAATGATGGGCTTAATGAAAGGATTGTAATAAAAGTATTTGTTTCTTATTTTATTTTTTCCTTGGAGGTCATGAAATAGTAACTATAAGTTTTAAAGTGCTATTGTCCTAATTTAGAAGGTGAGCTTTCAGATGCAAACTCCTGCCTGACAAATCTGCAGCAACAAGGAACCTGAGAGGCCAGGATGTCCAGTCTCTCCTTTTGCTGATGAGAGAAAGGAGGTCCCAGGAGCAGGCAGGATGGCTCAGGAGTGCCAGCCCCAGCTCCCTGAGTTCCTACTCCCAGGGCTGCACTCTCTCTGAGTCACACTGTTTGAATCTGGGAGATAACAGACAGTCTCTGAGGTTCCTTCCAGGTCTCAGATTTTGAATCTTTCAGTGTATAAAACAATAGGAGGAGTGGCCTGGACTGTGCCCACAGGGAGAAGTAAGGATAAAGAAGAGATTACATGGACATTTTAGAGAAAAACATCACGTTTGCCACAAAAATCAATAGCTGAAGACAAAATTAACAAACTGTCACATAAGAGCCCCCCAAAGGCTAGAGGGTCATGTTAGTCTTGTCTAGGATTTAGGAATTTAGCTCTCCTCACCTGAATACACTAGACTGTGAAACAAAATGGAAACATTTTACTTTCAGGAAAAAATTAATAAAACACATCCACTGTGCCTTCTTTTTATCCTCTAGTTGTGAAATGGTTGGATCCCCTTCCCCTCCATCTAGCCCCAACCTCATCCCCCACAGAGTAACCACTGAAGAAACGAGCTTTACTATTCCAGACACATAACTCTTTACCATGAAATTCATTCAAACACTTGAAAGATTTGTATTTCTTTGACCTCTCACATCCTGCCAGAATCATTGCATGTGCATCATTGCAGTGCTAAGGAAATGCTAAAAATGAACTAAGTCATTGCTGTTAAATTTGATGCCTTCAACTGTGAAATTTCATTTCTGAGACCTTTTAGATCCTCAGGAGCCTCTCCCCACCGGAGGGTGGAGGCCTTTATTTGTATCTTAGATCAAGCCCAGGGGCTCAGATACTACTCTGGTTGCAGCTTGAGTTCCTGAATCTCCTTTTCTGCTTGTTGTTGTTAAGTGCTGTCGAGTCAGTTTTTACTCATAGCCACACTGTATAGGGTTTCCAACTGAGTCCTGATGTAGCACTGCGAGTTAATGTGCAGGACTGCAAAGTCAATTTGAACAGCAAGGTCGACAGTTCAAGTTCACCAGCTGCTACTCAGAAACCTTATACAGGGTTGCTATGAGTCAGAACTGATTTGATGGTACTTAACAACAACAACATATGGTTCCCAAAGAGTATTGGTGAGTTTGAACCACCAACCTTGTGGTTAGCAGTCCAGTGTTTAGCCTGCAGCTCCACACCAGAACTCCTTTTCATTCCATTTACCTTTGATTCATTATTCCCGAGGAGGGTTCCTCTTTGGTCATTCAGATAGCCAGCTTTAGTGGCCCCAAGACTGCCTTCACAACCCGAGTTTTGCCTTTTCCGAGATGTAAGCCTTGAGGCAGCATAATCCCAAATGACCTCAAAGTCAAACACAGTTCACTCACCATCATGGTGATCTGGGTTATGCGATACAATATAAACTGGTTGTCACTTTGATTCTGTTTGTTGTACTTCCTCAGAGCAGTATCCACAGCGTTAAAAACTTCGTCATTGTTGCAGTCAATTTCCTGTGAGAAAGGTTCCTGGGTCAAACTTAGGAGCAGCCTGGAACAGAGGAAAAAGATGGTGATTAGTTTCATGGTATCACTGTCTTCCCTTTAGTTGTTAAAGGATGCTTAGAGTTGTCTCAAATGTCTTCTTGAACCCTCTTCTGTCTCTGCCTCCACACTCTGGAGATCTGCCACACACTTTTTGCCCTATTTCAAAAGGACAAATGATACTGCTGGGTTAGCCAAACAGATTTCAGGCTGGAAAATTACAACACTGGGGTGTATGACCCACTTGTTTACATTCTAAAAGTACAGCGGAAGAGCATAAGCCCTTTTCCACGTGATTGCACAGTGTGTGTTACTGAGCAGACCAGATCAATATAAGGAAGAGAGAAAAATCACTCACGAGCTCATAACTTTAGGATTTTCCCAAAGCCATTTAAAAAAGATCACTGCATGTCACAACAATGCGACAAGGTGCTGGTAAATACCTTTCACATAGAATTTCCTTGCAGGAGGTTTGCATGGAAACAGGGGGGTATCAATCCTACTGCCTGGGGAAGCCTATGTACAGAAGCACCAAGTGAGTGCTGGGAGCCTCACACTAAGACAATGCTGTGACTTAAAATAAAAAATGGGCATCCTGTCTGGTGTCTGGACCATCCAGCCGCTTTCTGCTTGTCCATGTTCATTCTGTAAAGGAAAAGACTCTGCAAAGTTAAGAAGTCAGAGGAGAAGCACAGATGA